ACAAGTATTCGATACCATTACGTTATCAATCAACAGCCGGGACAAAAACGCCCATTTTTTTTTGCAAGGTCCCGCAGGAACAGGAAAGACCTTTATTTACAATACTCTTTGCAACTACTACAGAGGTCAAGGAAAAATTGTGTTGTGTGTGGCTTCTTCTGGAATAGCAGCATTATTGTTACCAGGTGGTCGAACCTCTCATTCCCGCTTTTCTATACCAATACAGATAACTCCCTCATCCGCGTGTCATATTAAAAAGAACAGTGATCTTGCTGATCTTATTAGAAACACCGCTTTGATTATCTGGGATGAAGTTCCAATGCAGCATCGAAATTGTTTTGAGGCAGTAGACAGAACATTTCGTGACATATGTGACTCGGATGACTCGGTGTTGTTTGGTGGTGTACCTGTTGTTCTCGGTGGTGATTTTGCCCAAATCCCACCTGTAGTTACTCACGGTAATCGACCGCAAATTGTGGATGCTTCCTTAATTATGTCTTCTGCTCTGTGGCCAAGACTCAAAAAACTTTTTTTGACAGAGAATATGCGTTTGGCTAATTCAGTGCAAGAGGATAAGGACTTCGCTGAATGGATCGGAAAGATGTCTTATGATTCAAATCATCAAGGGACAATTTCATTACCACCGTACATTCGCAAATTTTCTGACTCTGCTGCTTTTATTGAAGACATTTATCCCAAAGATGTTCTTGAACGCCCACTTGAAAACAGTACCTTTTTCAAAGAAAGAGCGATCTTATGTTCAAAAAATATCAATGTGGAAGCAATCAACAGTAAGGTTTTGGAACAGGTAGTTGGTGAAAAGGTTACTTTATTTTCTTCCGATACCGTACAATCAGATCTTACAGGGTCTTCAATAGACAGCATGCCTGAAGAGTATCTTCACAGTTTGATTACCTCTGGCCTACCACCAGCAAAATTAGAGCTAAAAGTTGGTCTGCCTGTCATGCTTCTTCGCAATTTGAATCCCGAAAGGGGTTTGTGCAATGGAACTAGGCTAATAATTCTTCAAATTGGACAATATGTTTTGAAAGTAAAAATCTTGGGTGGTTCTGGCCTTATCGAACTCATACCCCGATTCACTTTGTCGACTCTTCCAGGCCAGCTCCCATTTGTATTAACAAGAAAACAATTTCCAGTCAAAGTATCTTTTGCAATGACTATTAACAAATCACAAGGACAGTCATTAAAAAAAGTTGCCATTGATCTCGAAACTCCTGTTTTTACCCATGGCCAATTATATGTAGCGCTCTCCAGAGCAACATCAGCAAACGGTATATCCGTATTATTTTCAGATAAACAAAACACTACAGAAAATGTTGTTTATCCTGAATTACTCATTCGCACCTAACTCCCTTTTAATTTTAGATCTTATCCAAACTCATCATTTTTTATCCCACCTTATATATTACAAATAAAGGCTTTATTTATTAACTTTGAGTGCGTTTCAGACGCTGGCTCCGCTCACGAAGTGAGCGAGAAGCCAGCTAGTTAACGTAAACCATCTTTATGCAGGTAAGTGAACACTGCTGCTCTTCTGAGGTCTTCGTATGGTCACTATCGTAGTTCCTCTCATTATGTCTGTCTCTGGTCATATTTTACTGGTCATTTTCTATATTTAAAGAGGTCTATCATGATCAGATTCGAAGTTATTTAGTTTTTTTTTATAAATAAAATTTTTTTTACCAATATATACAAACGTATCAATTTTAAGCCTGTATCCTGATTCAGCAGGGGTGTAAAAGTAATATTATATCGATTATCGATTACGCCATTTTTTTACCCCATCCAACGATATTTTTTTATTGTTTTTGATTTATGGATCGATATCGTCAATCGCGATATTTTGGAAAGTTTGATCGATATTGCCAATAACGATATTTTAGAAAGTTTGATCGATATCGCCAATCGTGATATTTTGGAAAATTTGATCGATATTGCCAATAACGATATTTTAGAAAATTTTATCGATATCGCCAATCGCGATATTTTTTAAAAAAAGATCGTTATTTCCGTTCTAATTTGTTTGCGATATTTTTCAATTTTTGATCGCTGATTTATTTTAGGGTGCATTGTATAATTCTTTGTTAGAGAATTCAGAGAATTCTGGTAACAATTTTTGTTGTACGTTTCTCGTTAACAATGAATCGATGCTGGGGTTTTTTTTCTCGCTGCAAGCAGCATCATAATACTGTAATTCGAGAGCAGCATGATGCTCGGCATGCAATTCTCTTAAATTTTTTGATAATCTCACAGGACCTACGGAATTTTGGAACAATGGACGCATCAACGTGGCTAAATCTTTGGATATCCCAGACTTATGAGTTAAAAGAGCAGGATAGTCCGCTTGAACACGCAACGGGAGCTGTCTGATAATTCTAGAGTCGAATCTGTTAAGAAAATGCTGCTTGGTAGCATTCTTACATCTGTAACATCGTGTCATTATGTAGAAACAACTATAAAATTTGAGCTAAAACCACATAATAAATGCTACTGTCTACAAAAGGAAAGATGTTTCACGGATAAAAGATTGGGAGAAAGTAACCCGGCTTCATGGAAATTTCTTCATTACAACACAAGTCTAGGCTCCGACCAATGAGAGATCAGAGAATTTAAGGAACAATAATAAATCAAGGACAGCTATCTTACGATCTTCAATAAACCAAATAAATGGTCCATCATATAAAACTACGATGGATCTGAGCTGTCAAAAGTACAAGCCACAATATCTTAAATCTTCTATAAATATCAGGGCAAACCTGCCCGTCTAGTTAGCTCTTAATCCATTTTTATACAAATAAATGTACAAGACTTATAATTGTATTCTCTTTGTTTTTTATCTATTTTTTTTCTGTAAAACTATTCTCTCTTAAAGTCTACTTTTACTACAGTGGTCGTACAGCACATTCAAGATTCGGTATCCCCTTACATTGTAATCAAGCGTCAATGTGTTTTTTAAAGCCGAGGAGTTGTTGAGGATATCATAGATATAATAATAAAGTTAATTGTCACATCACATTATGGATGGATAATAAATATAAAAGTTTATCATGAATCACGCATTACCCCACTTGTTCTCATCCTACCGTTGGAGTCTGTACACAGGGCACATCCCTGTGGCGAGTAAATATTTATTCTGCAAAAGCAATACAATCGAATGGGCCTGGACTATAGAATATTAATAAATACTGAGCACAAATATTACTCTTGTCATTTGATGTTATAACTGTTGATCCCTCTGACTAATATTTATATACTCAGTATGGAAGGGCTAAATTTAAAGACATGTTGATTATTTACTATCACCAGATTATTACATCATGATCCAATAAGGCGCTTACTATTCTCCCTAGAACTATCTCAGTTCTTTATATAAATATCTATAGTTTTTTCTCATAGACCATCAAGACATTTTTTAATACATTTTGAATACATTTTTAATACGTTTTTAATTAAATTTTTTTCGTCCATAATAAAGTGGTATCCAAGTTCTAACAATATCACTTTTGGTTTATTTTTATTTTGTTCTCCATGCAAAACAGGAGTTGAGAAATTCGAGAGATAAAACAACGAATTACGAATAGAATAACGAAATTTGACGAAGTAAAATTATCAAACTGCAAAAATAAACGCAAGTCTTTATTATACAATAAATTGGGTTCCTTATATACATATTAAGGGCTGGCTGAATATCAATCATTAAATTGAAACCTGTCAAATATGCAATAGGCGTATTGTCGATTAAAGATCGAGCATCTCATGGTACCTTCGAGAATCTTGTCATTGACGAGCGATCATATCATTGGATTGTATTATCTGGAATAAATGTATGACTATTGTTTTCTATATATTGATGAGTAATCAATGCGTAGTAAATAGAGTATAATAGCATGTATTTGATTTAAAGAGTAATGCAATAATGATTTATAGAAAGGTTATCAAATAAGAAAGAAAGAGTTGATGATAGAGTTATATCTGTATATAAGCTCGATCACAACAGGAGTAACAACGCGGCAATAATAGCATCATCAACAATTATAGTTTGGGATGAAGCTTCAATGATTAGTCGTGATGTTCTGGAAACTGTTGATCGAAGTTTACGAGATCACTGTGAAACTTTTTATCGGTCCAATTTTTGAAAAGATTTTGAAAAAGTTAGACCGGCGGTCGCGGTCCAAAAATTGGACCGATTATTTAAAAAATCGGTCGAATTTTTGAACGGATTTTTTAAATAATCCGTCGAATTTTTGGACCGATACTGACGAGTACAAGCTATAGTTTCAGCAAATAGTAACGTAGTAACCTTATTATTTAAAAGAATGGTATTGGCTAAAAATACGACTAGCGTACACATTTCATGGGTTGCTACCCTTGCACATATTGAAATTTAGGATTGTATATATTGAAAAAAAACACTTTTATTTAAATAAAAACACGAAGAGTAATTATAGATATTGCAGAAAAAAAAACGGTGTAAACCCCACGTAGATCTATCCAGACTAACTAACAGAGCAGACTGCTATTGTTCAAAACGAAAGGACACGGCCAGAAGTACTTACCTACGAATAATAATGTTAATAACAAGCACACATGTTGTTATGATTATAATAAATACCTTAAAAATAAACCAGTGGACTTGGCGATGCACTTACCACACCATACCTGTATAACTATGGTTAGAATTGAGTTAATAAAATGGATAACAAACAGATAATAATATTATAATAGTAGCGTTTACCTTAAAGGATGTCGCTTATTTAACAAGTGCTTGAATAGACATGATAAAAATACACCTTTTACAAAAAACTATATATCGTGTTAGTTTTATAGCTGGCTCAAATACAGTATGACTGAACATAATAACATTTATAGACTTACTATTATTTTTTTTATTTAAAGAAAGAAGAAAGAAGAAAGAAGAGAGAAGAGAGAAAAAAAGAAAAAAAAAGGAAAAAAAAGTTTTAAATAAGGCAGGTTAAAACTCAGAGAGAAAATAATTCCCCACCTAAACTACGAAACGTTCTTGGAAGGCGCTTATCTGGCCTTGGTTTTGCTTCATTGGCTTTTCTTTTGTTATTCTTGCTGTTTTTGTTACCAACATCCAAAGAGACAGGCACAGAAGTAGAGACAGGCACAGAAGTAGAGGCAGGTACAGAAGTAGAGACATGTACAGAAGTAGAGACAGCAGACGAGCCAGAAGGAGTAGATGAAGCCATGGGGCCAGAGGGGGGTAATGAAACTGAAGGATATGGTAAAGAAGGTGAAGGGCGAGGTATGACTGGAAGCGAGGAATATGTCGGGGGAGAGGTAGATGCGAAAAATTCAGAAGTGGGAGAGGGTACTGATGTGAAGGTTGGCATAGTTGGTATAGGTGGCATAGATGGCATAGATGGAGTAGGTGGCATAGATGGCATAGATGGAGTAGGTGGCATAGATGAGGTAGGTGGCTTAGATGAGGTAGGTGGCTTAGATGAGGTAGGTGGCTTAGAGGGAACAGAGAAAGTTGGAACAATTTCATCGTCTGTGATCGAGTAAGCTTCCATCGGAATATCCTCGAAAGCATTGTCATCCGTGGACATGGTACGCGTAAAAGATGAAAGAGAGGGACCAGAGGCATTACTTGAATTAACACGGAGGTTAGCCATACCACCCAACATCGATCCGGAAAGGGGCTCACGAACATTGTCAAAAAGATTGTGATTAATTTTGCGCTAAAAAGCCATAAGGTTAATTTATAGATAATTCTTATAACTGTTAAATCTTACGTACATCTTTTTTTTTTGTTCGACAATAAAGACTTCACCATCTCACAAGCGATCCAGTTTGCGTCTGCAAGACGCAATGGAACCATTGGCGTATTAACATCAAGATCAAAGATACGACTGGCAGCATCATCCTCGGGTGGAATCCCTGAATCACCAGAGCGTTTGTTCCAATAGTAGACAATGCTCTCAATTATATACATAATCTCTTTTCGTTCATGTTTAGTAAGTTTCGACCAATTGACGCCATTAACAACAGATCTGTCACCGAGGTGTGCAGCCAAACATTCTCGACAAAGATGGTGAGTATTGTGATACGCCTTTTGTGCTTTACCATCTAAACCCAACAAAGCTTCATCGTTGTTGTCATAATCGACAGAACCATCGAGACCTTTGAAATATTTCTTTGTTGAATCGACAACGTGCTGGACCGTGTAAGAGGTGTCTGGCTTTAAGATGGTTCTCCTGCCCAAATGATTCACGTTGTCATCAAAGCCATATTCAGAAAACTTTGCTTTGTAATAATTCATGGCTTTTGTTTGGGATGGAGATAAAAATGTAAATTAAGGTAGCAAAAGAAAATACTGTTGGAACTGTGTATATCTTTTATTTCGAGAAAATTTAGATTAAGGAATTCTACTAGGAAAAACTACAGGTATTTATACTAAATGATTATATGGCTTTCGGATAATATATAGGACGCGTTAGAGGAATATGATATAATTTTATACGTAATGTCTGTTTAAATAAATATGTTATGAAGTAACTCCTGCCTTACAAAGTAAAGACAAAAGCACGTGAGGATCTAAATTCATTTCCGCAGGTGACATTACGTAAATGCCAAAGAGAAAGTTTAGTGCGTGTAATATTCCGCCTATGGGATTGTACCATACTTTTATGGTATTATAATACTTTACTCGTCACAAGGCAGATCACCTTGTGCACAGACACCAACGGTTTTGATGATAACAAATGGGGCGAAGTGTGAGCCATGAATATTTATACATGATCATCCATAATTATGTAAATGTGATGATTCTTTTATTATAATCTATGACATCCTCAACAGCAATGACAATCAACAAATCACAAGGCCAGACATTAGATTCCGTTGGTCTATATCTTCCAACACCTGTTTTCTCTCATGGACAGCTGTATGTAGCATTATCGCGAGTCAAAAAACCCAGTGACATAAGAATTTCAGTTCCTAAAGAAATATCAACTATTGAAAATGTAGAAGGATTATACACATCAAATGTTGTTTACACTGAAATATTTCGAAATTAATATTCTTTATTCTATCACATCCACATATTCTATTATTTAAATAAACTTTTATTCGCTATTCGTTTTTAACAGGCCTGCGGCAGCACGAGATTTTTTCAAAGCGCAGCGTACCAAACCATAGTGAAGGTCAAAAATTTTACCCAAACGGAGGTTTGGTTTGAAAAAACCTCGTATTTGATTGAATTTATTGTCTCTTAGACATCGGATATTACACATCTGTTTCATGTTAGGAAATAGCACATGGCTTTAGTGCCCTGGGAATGAGACCCTTAGTAAAAACTTTTTAACAATTTTAACGATTTGTAACATTTTTAGAAAAGGCTTATCTTATGGCGACTTTTAAATTATTATACCGTAAATTAATACGTAGAAGAACATTAAACTGTGACATTCTACTCTAAAATAAAATCACGACGACTTATCGACCATTCTTTCCATTCACAGAAAATATTACGAAATGCCCATACTCAGTGTGACTTTCGAATTAACACGACGTACGTTGATACGTAGAACTACATCTTGTTCCAAAATAAATTCTTGGCCATGTATTAAATATTCTTTCCATTATAGACAATATTACAAATGTTATATTTTCAAAAATTCTCATACCCATGGCGGCCATTTAGTTAATATAATTCAATTTGATACGTAGAGAAATATTAAACTGAGACACCTCGTTCTAAAATAAAATCCAGACGATATATTGATCATTCTGCTCATTATCGACAATGTTACGTTTTCAAAAAAGCTGATACTCAAAACAAATTTTTAGTTAGTAAAACGTAAATTGATTCGTAGAACAATATTAGACCAGAATATTCTATTCTAAAAGCATATCCCGACCATATATTGATCATTATCGCTATTCATAGCCAAGGTTAGTGCCCCTTTTCAAGAGTGAAAACTATAAAAAAAAGTCCAGGAACAAAAACAATTGTTCATAAATGAGTAAAATGTAAAGTTTACTTTTTTCATGAAGTTATGCTATGTTAAATATTACTATAAGGGTCTCCCGGACCGACAACTGGTTTTTAAAAAACCTAAATTACAAACGGGTGTGAATTAATAGTGTCTGTCGGATCTAAAATTTTTGTTTAACCGGATCTAATACCAGACTTATAATTGAGGACATAGCCACCGTTAGCGCCTACAATTACGGAACGATTGGCGGTACCGCAATAGTACTGACGCAAGGCAGGAAAACAGGCATTGACCTAGTAAAAATAAAAAATAAATTAGATGACTGTATATTTTCAAAAAATACTTGACTGTAACACTTACAAAGAAACCTCCGCAACAGGCCAAGTTAACATTCGGGCAAGCACTTAGCTTGCCGGAACCAAAAGGGGCATCATTGTAGTAGCAGGCAAGGCCTAAGTTCTTCTTAACGGAATAATTAAAGTTTGGTCGAAAATACACATCGAAATTCGCGAAGGTGAAAGGAATGTTATGATGTGGCTGGGCCCAGTCGCAGACGTACACAAAAGAGTCGACGTCGAAAAGGAACTCGGGCTGCGAATTGACAATGAACGAAGAGAGACCTACGGGTTGGGGTTGGCCGTTGACATGTCCACGGACAAACGTTTTCACCAGCAAATGGTTCAAAGCAGCCTGAGAAATGCTTTCAAGAGAGCTAGCAGCATGGTAGTTGGACATAAATTGCTCCAAAGTAACTTCGACAGTTTCTATATTGGAGAATGTAATCTAAATATGAGTAATGTATTAAAAGAAAATGATTGATAAACGTTCAAAGCTTACCTTCGTCAGTGCGAGCACGGCTGGTGGCAGGTTCCATGGAAGGATCAGCATTACGAATATTAGCTACAAATTAATGAAAAAATATAATACAGTGCGTCCGCCCTCAATTGGACACTTTTTGAACACATTGATTAAATTTTAGAACTTTTTTGAACTTCAATAGGTCACTTCTTTAAACTTCAATTGGTCACCTTTTATAAAACGAATTGGCATATTTCTAAAAATTATTTATTTTGATTAGGTGTGAGTTATGTGCGAATTTTTTTGGGACAATTATCCAACTGATTAACTGAATGTTGAATAAATGCTATATGGTGTTCAACTGGTACACTTTTACCAGCTGTGGTTGTGGTATTTGACAAAATATTACATAGAAAAGTATATTTTTATTAGGGGTAAAAATAGACTAAAAGAACTCTGCTGCTGTGAAATAATTGATCCTTTTTATATTGCAAAACTCTCCTGAGTTTTAATGATAAGTCAACCTTTCTGGTTTTGGAATAGATCTATACTTTGTTTCCCGCCTTGGGTTGAATGGATACTACCCGCTAGAACTGTTTCCAGTTAACGTTGTCTCATATCAGTGGATCGGGAGCATGAGTATTCTAATAAATCTTTAGTATTACGAGACACTTATTTATCAGATCATGCAAAGGTTACTGTAAAAGCTGCATACTTGTTTGTCAAGTGTATTTGATAATAGAACATATTAGTGGTAGATGATCATTTATTCATTATCTTTGAAATGAATAATATACGATCCTAAATATAAAGTGTCTTATCGATATTTGTATATTTGGCAGTAGAAGATAGGTATCCATTAATTCGTATATTATTTTTTTATACTGTTTATCGCAGAATAATTATACTGGTATATACGTAAATGAACTATTTTATATTAATAGCTGTTCTATTCTTTCTCTGGGTAGCTAATCCATTGAGAGAACTATTATTACTAAGTTTTTCTTATAATTCTTGATTTGGTCTGACAAAATTCTCCTCTCTATCAGTGATATCCTAACTCAGGTGTATAGCATTCTGTATGCAACTTTCTTTCGTATATTGTATTTAGACCAAGTATGCAATCTTTAATATAGAAGTATGTACTCGTAGTAGGAGACGTTGTATAGCAGTATACAAGCGTATGCTGATATGCAACATCAAAGGTTGTTTTAATTTCATAGTTCATTTTCTTAAAGGATTTGATTAATTATTCTTAAGTGAATCGTACAAATGATCCATGTTGGTGTGAGCAGTGCCAAATAACGCAGCGTCAAAAGGAATAGAATTGTCGCGTAAACTTAGCAACAATAGATGTTCAGACAAGATGTCCATTAGCTGAACATTAGGATTGGGAATTTTAATAGAAGCTTTTTTTTCTGTTCTAGTACTGTTAGAGTTTGTTTTGAGTTGCTTAACCATCGTCTTCTTAACTACAATTGGACTAAACATGCGTAACAACAGTTTCATTTCAATTTTGGTTTTTTGGCAGTTTAAATACATCATAATCAATAAAACGCTTACCCAAATCTTCGAACAGGTCTTCAAGATTGTCACTGAACATCTCTCTCAAAAAATCCTTTTTTCCTTCTGTTAGAAGATTGTTGTCCCAGTTGTCTCAGATGTACTTTAACACCACATATTTGCATTTTTGGGTATTCGACAGACAAATAGTAAATTTCTTCTGATACTGGTCTGCATCCTGCGCAGAAACCAGCGTCTAAGAAGTGACCATTATGATCTGCTTCCAGAATCGGTGCAATTGGAGTCACCCCAATTCTGATGTAAGCAAAGGCTTTATTCGAATTGTCAAACGTGTATGCCGAGAAATTAAGACTACCAAATCAGTATATCGCTATGAGAAAAACCATATATCCGATGATTTAAAAGTATATGTTATTAGTTATCTTGTGAGACGACCCCTCTTTAAGAAATCTCAGGAAGTGGAACATCAGGGAGTAATTTGCCCGAGAGACAAAAACCGGGAGTCTCAGACTCAAATCCACACCTTTCGCCTCCAAAGAGATTGATTGGGCACTTAGTACTTTGATCTTTGGTGTTTTTTGTGTAACGACAACTCTGTCGCAAAAAGCTGTAACCATTGTTTTTTAATATTATTAATTAATTGAATGAAAACTATGAAGTTGACAAAGAATCCGTTTTTATAGCAAAGTTAGCTCTCATTCGTAGATCGTTATTTTTAATATGGTGCTATTTAGCCAGCAAGACCACATAAAAAACATAGCATGATGCGAAAAACTGAAAGCTTCCGGGCGAAACACGTTTTTTAGAGAATGGATTGTAGTATACAAGTATTATATGTATTTTAATTTTAAGGTGTGAGTGCTTTATCGTCATGAGTTATTTGCATATTCAGGATTAAGCGTTTAATTTACTGTTATGCAGGCTTCGATTTTCGTTGATCAAAGTCTGCATTTACTTTTTTTAAAGTCCTGCTAACTTTTTCAGAAATTGTATCAATTTTATTTGAAGCTGTATTCACTTTATTTGATATTGTTGTACTAAAACTTCATATAAAATTATTCCATCGATCCTTGATCAACAGGAACATACCATAACACTTATAAAAAAATAACATATAAAATATCCTGAGTTATACGTTTACAGCTCATGACTACTAGATATTCCAATAGAAGATCCCATTTCGAGTAATAGATTGGCTACACTGATAAGGCTCATCAGTCAGTGGTAAATACAGCCAACAATACCAAGTGAACACAAACTAGCCCTTAATTTTACCCTCACTTTAAATAACTATAAATACATCGCTTTCTTTCAGAGATGAAAGAGGGATTCACGTCTAATAAGAATAAAAAAGCTTAAAAGCAATATTAATCTTATTTGTCATAATTGAGATAAAAAGAGAAAATGTAAATGGAAAATAAAGCAAGTAAAGAAATCAGACTCTATAATCCTTTATTATAAGTTCACAGCCGCGCACTCGGTGGTAAAAGGTGGTAAAAAAGTACCAACTTAGACCACCTGCGGTGGTAAAAACCCTTGATTTTTTATCCCACATGTGGTACAGGTGGTACGATTTCACTACCTCTGGTGGTGAAAGAAACAAATTTATATCACCAGAGGTGGTGCGTTTTATCCACCAGTGGTATCATTATACCACTTTAAATGGTTCAAACACTCTAACAGTTGAATCTTTTTACCACTTTAAACTGATGTATTTTTCCGTCTGCTGCATGTTTTTACCACTTTAAACTGATTTATTGTTCCGTCTGTTGCATGTTTTTACCACTTTACATTGATATATTGTTCCGTCTGTTGTTTGTTTTTACCACTTTAAAATGTCTTTTTGTTCATTCCGCTGCACTTTTGTTACTTTAAAGCATTACATAATCGAAAAAAATTTACGTATAAATACACAAAAACTGTGAAAAAATGGGGGTATAGAAAACGTTTTTATTGGTATTTATTTTGTATTTTCACTTTGAAGCTACTGAACGTGCATCCATATTAACGTGCCACCAAGCTTAAACCTGATAAATTTTTTGCACTTTTTTAAATCCATTTTTATACCCCAAAAAAACATTTTTCTACAAATCGCTGACAGAAGAACGATTGTAACAATGTTTTTAAACAATAACGAGGCTTTTTCAAACCAAACCTCCGTTTCGGTAAAAATTTGACCTTCGCTGCGCTGCGGTAAATTTTTGACCTGCACTATGGTTCGGTACGCTGCGCTTTGAAAAAGCCTCGTGCTGCCGCAGGCCCGTTTTTGAAATAACAAACTTAACATATATTAATTAACCATGAAGCCCATGCACCATTATAACTTAAGCTACACTGCCTATTATTAGTTTGATACTGGAGAAAACTTTGATGTTTCTCAATATATGTATAAATATCTGGAAAAAGACGATATCCCTAGACCCAGGCAGGAAAGTTGATCTACGCAAAAAGTATTAATTGTTTATTTATCTGATTAGCTATTCTATGCGCAGTGTTTTTGCTTCATAATGAAAGACTTGATAATCCAAAATATTAATTTCAAAGGCGACCCCTTCATCGACCTAAAACAATTAATTTTCCAGTTGTTCTCGAATAATGACATATAGTTTGTGAAAAAGTGTTCATAGACTGTTTCTCTAAACTCGATAATATAATACTTAATACTATTGGTTGTTATACTGGGCCGGAGGGTAACCTCCACCCCGAAAACCCCATAGTAACAATTTTATTTGCATTGATTTTTTCCGTAAAAGTCACTTTTTATATCATGAATTTCTCCAAACAATCAGTTTTTATATATGATCTTTTTTTTTAGTCTAATGATTAATATTATGGGTCGTATTCTTGGGAGGAGTGGTTTTCCCATCAGATATATTACGCCATAAAAAAAATCATGCTTTAAAAACACAGCGCTGTAAAAAAAAAAGGAATATTGTTTTTCAGTAGGTAACAATTTAATGCTAAATAATATGGGCCGTATTCTTGGGGGGAGGGGTTCCCCCTCCCCCCAAACCCCCCACCCCTCTTGCGGGGAGAACCCCCGCACCCCCTCAAAAAATTCGTAACTTTGTGACTGTTTTTTACAATTCCTAATTCCTATTATTTTTATATATTAATACGAAAACAGTTTACATTTTTAGTTATCAAAAAATTTTAGTGATAGCCATCAAACATTATCGGTGTTGAAATATTTAAGCGGGGGAGTATAGGGGAGGCCCATCATTTGAAACAAACAAAAAGAGCATAAGGTAAATTTTAACACCCGACAATCATTTCAGCCAATAAAACAGCAGGAAATGGCTAAAACTGTAACTTTTTTTTAAAAAGCTATGAACTTCATCAGTTTTTATTTTGATAACTTCGCAATAGCTTTAAGTTTTAGATACAATGTTGGCAACCATTTCTTCTGTGAAGAATTTTTAATTTATTTATAAAAAAGTCTATTTACCATCAGAATTGTTAAATTTCTGTGGGATGCTAAATAGAGTTCCGACAGTTGGAGGGCGTACCCAATGTCGATCCTATTGAAGCTATCAACTTTATCAATACAAC